CTTCTCATTACGTAGTGCCGATGTGCGCCCGACCGCTCGATCAACGTAAATTTCGGCCTCCTTTGTGGTTCAAAACAGACAACTTCGTCCCTTTTGGCGGCTTGATGTCTTGATATAAGAAATTTTCCGCCGATTTTGGTGATTTGTTTGGCATGTTTTTGGTTGAAAATGTGTTGCAACTTGACAATTTTTTTTTCAAATAGCCGGCATTGGCTTTTCAAATAAGGGGCGTGATAAACAATGGTGTCAATGGGAAACGGTTTGGGTTTTCACAATTCTTTTCAATTAGCAGACTTTTTCTTATAAGCGTTTTGCAATTAACTGGCTGCCACTGTAATTGTTTTTGTAATTGTTGGATAGCCAAAAAACTAACATGAAACTCCTGTGTTGTGTTGTGAAGGCTGGGTGAAGAGAAGCAGAGGCTACAGCAGGAAAATGTAGAGAACCAGCAGGTCATCAGGCTCCTGGAGATGCAGAAAAACATCCTCACAAAGGTAAACACCACTATGTCACTAAGTCACAGGCCATGCCTAGTCCTTAATCTAGCATTATTTTTCTTTTTAATTTTTGTATGTAACTGTATGTATGAAATTGTATTCTCATGTAGGTGCAACCAGGATTAAGAGGTTCTAAACTGAGCAATATAAGCTTAAGAATTAACGTAAAGCCTGCTTGTCCAACATTCAGTAGCCAGCGGTATCTGTATTTCATTTGTGTAAACCAAGGTTGATTTGACATTCCAGTCCAAACTTGGATGGTTGTGTTTAATGCCTACTCCATCTCCTGATTCTGCACCCTTATGTTACCATGTTCTTCCAGCCCCAGCCAGGCTCAGAGCCTTATGAGCAGCTCCAAGCTGAGGTGGACAGGATGAAGGCAGAACTTACACTCAACCAGTGGGTTGTATTCTATTGTGTAGTCTAGAGTATTGTCTAGTAACTGTTGCTTCTCTAAGAAAAGCCAGATGCATTTGCTTTGTCTTGGGTGTTCTTTGATACTGAATTTAGATGTGAGATCAATTTGATACCTTTTGAGAATAATTCATTATGATGATTATGATGATAATTTTTGTCAAAATGCAATAATGTAATTTTCTCTCTTTTTTGTACTTAAGGGACAAATTAGAAGAGCTACAGAGAGACAGGACTCAGCTGATTCAACAGATAGAGGAATTGATGGTCAGTTTTTGTGGATATTCAGACTATCATATAACCTAGTTCATGGTTTGTTGTGTGATGCATTGTAAGCAGTATGTTGCTGCCAAGGTGCGTGCCTGCAAAGCTGGTGTGTTAGAAGGGCAGTTAAACCAGCTATACTGATACCGACAGAAACAGATGTCAAATTTGAAGATTCCTGATACATAAACAACATCATTGGTTATATTACTTGTGCAGGCTGAAAAAGACTCCAGTTTGTCCCTGGATCGCACCAAGATGTCGGAGATCCTGATCAACCACCCGACGATCCGGACAGCAGAGCTGGATGAACGCTGCCAGGCCCTGGAGAGGGAGAGGATCAGCCTGCAGGGCATCAACGACGACATCAAACATCAGCTCACCAAACTGGAGAAGGTTTGTTCACTGCAGACATGGCTGGGAAATCTTCATTCACCACCCAACACTGCATAGATGTATTTCATGAAGAAATTAAAATGCACAATTGTATCATAACAATGACCTTTGTTACAGAACTGGAAACTTCTCTGTTCATGATGCCCAACTGTCTGCAATGCTGGGGGCAGACTGTTGCTATTGTAACATATACTAGTATGCAGAAGCTTTCCAGTTATCAAGCATGGTTGTAGAGTTTAAAGCAACATGCACTCTATCTGCCATACGGAAAGCATATTCCAAGTAATGCATATTTATGTTATATGTTTTCTACATGTATGATTACGGGGACACTGTATGCTTTGATATTCTGTTTCATCTTCCCATTGCCATAACTATGTAAAAGGAAGAATATGACTATACTGGTCATGAGTTTAAAGATGTTTAAAGTTGTTGATGTATATAGTTAGGACAAGTCAAAAGCTGGACTTGTCATACCCTGTGGTTTTTGCTGTCTCGCTAGGAGAATGAGGTATTGCGGCAGAGGCTGTCTGCTGCCGATTCTCCCAGTGGAACAGACACCAACCCAGCCTTGTTACAGTAAGTCCACGTGTGTGGAGTGCACTGTTGCAGTTGTACTAACGTGCTGATCATCACTAATCATGGTGGAAAGGTCTCACTGTCTTTTTCAAAGAGAATTTTACATTGATTTGATTGATGCTTCTTTCCATTCTGTGCCTCGGGTGCTTGGTGATCATATGCTACTCAATGATATGAGATGGTGGTAAATATTCTTGCAGCTTACATGTGCTGTTGTGTCTTCATTATCAAAACATAGAACAGTAGGACCAAAAATTAGTTTATGATTTGATGTTGGTAACTTTCTCAGGTCTTGAAGTACATCAGTTTGTTGTTGTGATATGCTTGGCTTTCATCACATACTTCACAACTCCAGTGGGAAGTTTAATGGACTGTTGCAGTGGTTCTGACAATCATGCCCATGTTCCTTCAGGTTGCAGCGAGAAAACGAGAAATTTCAGGAAGATTACAGGCGCTTGAAGGCCTCATACAATGAACTAGAGAACAGACACCTCAGGTGGGTAGATTCCCTAGACCCTCCCCCTGTTTGGATATGCTGTAACCAGGTCAAATGTAAACACAGGATGATGTATAGCAGGAGAGATGGTTAAGAAGCACTGGATTGTTTTTCTGCACTTAAGAATGTTCAAAACTCTAGAACCAACAAGTTGTCTGCCATGTAGGTAACATTACAAGGCAATACATACATTCTTATTCAAATGTTTGTTGGAAATGTCTGAAGTATATTTTGAAGGAGATGATGAGATGTTGCTCTACTAGGTCCAAATGCTAGAAAAAACACATTCTAGTGCTAGTACGGGACAAAATTTAAGAACAAGTATATTCTATTTTTCAGATTGATATCCAGTCCAGAAAGTCCAGGAGATAGAAGTGAGTTTGTATCAAATTTGTTTATGTGTTGAAAAATTCCATATAATGATAAAATTTCATATTTGTTATCACAGCCAATTGTCTAATATTTCACTGTATGAAGATGCTTATTGGTGAATTTCCTTCCAGGTGACGACTCTAAACAGATGAAGAAAGAAATAACAAGATTAGAGAGTCAGGTGAGTGTTTTGCCCTTTAGAAGGTCATGGCAAAAAACCACACTAACATTTTCCCTCTGCCCTTTTTCCTTTACAATTGCAGTTTCTCAACCCTTTGCCATCCAAAACTAAGGACTAAAAAGTCATTCAGTACCAGAAACAACCTTCAGCACCAAGGACAGGGCCAGATTCTTAATAGAAACTCAGCACCAAGGACAGGGCCATAATCTGTTACAAGAAATGAAACTCAGCACCACGGACAGGGCCAGAATCTATTACAAGAAGTGAAATTCAGCACCAAGGACAGGGCCAAAATCTATTATTAGAAATGAAATTCAGGACTAAGGACAGGGCCAGAATCTATTATTAGTAATCTAGACCCAATGACAGGGTTAACCCCAAGGACAGGGCCAATTATTAAAAATTCTGGACCAAGTATAAGGGCCAGAATCTATTGTTAGAAATTCAGGACCAAGGACAGGCCCAGAATCTATTGTTAGAAATTCAGGTCCAAGGACAGGCCCAGAATCTATTGTTAGAAATTCAGGTCCAAGGACAGGCCCAGAATCTATTGTTAGAAATTCAGGTCCAAGGACAGGGCCAGATTGAAATAGGAAGTGAAACAGGACCAGAACTTTAGTGTTAGCACCATCAGCATTTAAACCAGGCCCTGAACAGTTCATTAGAACACCATTCAGCACCACTGACAGGTACCTTATGGTTTTTCTTTTTCCTCAGGTGTCTCTACAGAGAGGCCAGATAGTGCTGTTAGAAAACTCCAAGAGAAGGCTAGAGGACCAAAACAGTGAGTCTATTCAAAAGAAATTCATTTGTTTCTTTGTTGCACATGTTGTTTGTGTTAACATGCTGATTTATCTTTCTTTATTAATACTTTTGGTGATATTTCCTTGGTCTTTATGACTGTTTTATCAATTGAAAATCAACATTTCAGAAAAACTTGAGGCAAAAGTGCAGGAATTGGAGGAAAGAGAATATAACGAATCCTTCCCTGGAAAGTGAGTCATTTTTTACATACTAGTACATGTATATGTGCTACATCATGTATTTTGTTGAGAATTGTCACCTTCATATGCTTTTTTTCTATGTATATCATAAGTTTCATGACTGTCATTTTTTTTATCATTCAACTGAGACCTGAATCATCTCATAACAACACATAGTAATCCTGGTTTATGGCACAGGAGTATGCAGGAAGGGAGCAGCCATAGAACTCACAGTCGCTCCAGTGGGGATGGAAGGTGAGCCCTTTCTATCCCTGCTTCCTGGTACCTGACAAATTCTGTAAAACCTCATTGATGTTCTCATGACAAGGAAGAAGTGAATCATTGTTGCTATTGTATTTCATATATTGCATGTATTGTGAGTTTTCACCAACCAGCTGATGTCTGATGTCCATAGCAGCGGTGTTGCAGATGAGGAGAAGACAGTGTTGATTGAGAAGCTGAAGGGGGAGAAGGAGAAGTTCCGTCGTGAGGTGGAGTCTCTGTCCTCACAGCTGAAGGATGCGGAGATCATCCAGGAAAAACAAGAGAACGTCATCAGGAGCATGAAGGAGGTATTAACCACATTTTGTGTCACATTTTGGTTTGATGTAACAGTTGTACATTGGATTCTATCCTATTTGCTGTTTTATCATCATCAGTTGAATCTATCCATAAAACCATATGATTTTATAGAACTCTCAGGTAGAATATGTGACAAGTCTTAGGGTTTGGCTTGATTGATTCATGTTGATCTTTTGTAGGAACTTGAAGATGAAAAGATGCGCAAACCAAAAAAGATAAGGGTAAGGCTTTAATTTCATGTTTAACTTTCATTGTTTGCTTAGTAGAATTGTATAACAATATGATGTGATGTAATGGTGGGGGTGTGATATGTAACATATTATACTTTAGGATATAGAGATGGATTTGTTACAGAACATTTGTGTTAAGTTGGATATGGCTATTGATCTGCTATAATAGCTATATCATAGATCAAGTTTTCCTTTTGCTCTTTATGCTTAAATCCTGCCAGAGAGTTATGGTTCCTTTCTTCTTTTCTTCCAGTTTATTATTTATGATTTTGATTTGATTTGACCAATCAGAAATCCAATAGATCTTGCTTTTCCTTTTCTCTGCAATAGTTCTTGGACGAGTTGCAACCACCACAGGTAAAGGCCATATTGCAAAAACATGTATGGTGTAATGGTAGTATGGCTAGGGGGCCTTGGCTAACACAAAATTATAAGCAATCAATAGAAATAAGGATCCTTGAAACTATTATGCATGTCATTTTTGCACGCTACAGAGCTGATAGATTTATGAAATAGACTTTTTCTTGCATGTATTCTTTATTGATAAATTCTTTGGTGACCACTTTTATTCCAGAGGCATTGTTTTCAACTAACTCTATGGATTTCAGCCCATTATTGATACAATGCCCTAATGCATGGTTTCATCAGACATGGAGATGGGTTGCTAATCTCATGAAATTCTTTTAAAAGGGCTGACTTTACACATTTCTTTACATTGATACTGTCAAATTTAAAACCTTGTCCAATTAAGTACTACTATCTTATTTTCTGATGAAGTAGCTACCTGTAGCTGAAGAACCAGTGTGGAGCTGATGACTTTATGCTGTTGCACAGGAATCCATGGATGAGGTGGGTGCAGAACTGCTGCATGTCCGCGGGGAGCTCCAGAAGGTGTGGGACATGATCCACGTCAAGGGATGGGGAGTTAGAGGAGCACGGCAGGCAGTTGGAGGAAGCTCGAGCAAAGGTAGAGCTGCTGAAAGCTTGTGCTACGCCATCTCTTGCCATTGGCTATTGGGGCTGGTCAGTCAGTTGCTGCGAGCACGATTTAGTCAGGCCAAGGGCGTGGATGACAATACAACAAATACACTTGCATGGTCTGTGCTCTTGCAAGATTGACTGCCAGGGAGAGGTCTGTAAAATAAGCTCATCTTTGTGTGTAGGGGTTGTGGTAGGATAGAGGTTGTATTAGTACAGAGGTTGCATACGTGTGATGGCAGGTAATGTTGATGTCTAGTACATGTGTGAGTGATGTATTCCTATTACAGCATGCAGAGGTGCAGCTAGAGAAGGACAGATTGCAGCAGAAAGTGGACAGCCTACAAAGACAAGGTAGTCAGCAAGTGAGTGTCTCATAGATTTTGATGGAAATGTTGAGATAGATGCTACACTTTATGCACTATTCATGATGTTCAGCAGATCCAAAGGGATATTCTTGAAAAGCCAATATGCATATTACTAATAAAAAGCCAATATATACACTTTAGAAGAACCATAGACCCAATGTACCCTGATTTGGATTGCAAAAAGATTTCTTTGATGACTGATTTTCCTTCTCTTACATTTTCTTCTGAAGAGAGGAAACCATCACAGAGCTGAGGAATGAGAAGAACAGTTTACAGGGACAACGTAGAGGCTCTGGGACATTAGCAGAGAAACTTGAATGGTGAGTGGTTACTATTCATACTATTGTTTAAACTTTATAGCTGTTTAGCACCGAATTTGTATTGGTTATGGGGGTTAGGCAGCAGCAAAGGTTAAATCTTCAAAGTGTTTTTGTATTACTGTTATTTACCAATATGCTACTTCTGGACAAACCTATAATATGTCCCTATGATATGTCCTCTCTTCCAGTCTTGAAACCGAGAATCAAACATTGAAGGACAAGTGCCATGACCTTGGGAGGACAATTGCTGAGTTGGAAGTTGCTAACAAAGGTACATGTTCTTTTTCTTTACTTCATACACAACAAGCTTAAATTTACCTCTGCTTTTATATTATAGTCTATTCCAATAGCTTAAATGGACCCAATACTTTGTATCAAACGAGATTCTTTTTCCAAGAAAGTGAGAAAATTTCCCTCCATTTTTTGCTTCCAGATTTGTCAAGAAAGTTTGATAAACTGTCTAAAGACAAAGAGGGTGCAGACAAGGAGATCAGTAGCTTGAGAAGTAGTATAACAGAAGGCAGCAGTTTGGATGATGAGAGGAGGCGGCTGGGGGTGGAGTGTACACGGCTGACTGATGAGTTGGACATCAGTACCTGGAGTTAGAGGAGAAGATAAAACAGGTGAATTCTCATATATAGTATTTAGATGTATGATGCACAAATTCATTTTGAATCTGAAGTTGATGTAGATGATATACTAGTGACGTATGGAGTATTATATTTTGATGTATTCCTGTAAATCGTGAAATGATTTTATCTTTGCTATCGCCTCTCCACCGCAAATCCATGACACCGTGAATTTGCATCTCCAATTTATTAATACTGTACTACAGAATTATTGCATATTTTTATAGTAAGTTACACAATAGCCAATGAATACTTATAGAATGCATTTCATTTCAAATTCCAGGTATCATCTTTGGAAAAAAGATTACAGAATTCACAGGAGCAGCTTCAAAGAGTGAAAGAAGGTCAGAACACTTTTCTTACCACTACTCTTACAGAGAGGCTTCCCAATATATTAGTTTTACAATGTTATCTGTGATGTTGCCACAGTTACTGTGGTCAAGACTGAGAGAAATATAATTATGTACATGTATAGTCCTCTATCAGCAGTATCTGCTGCATCCTTTGTACCTTGGTTACATGTATAGCAGAACACACTACATTGCATGTGGTCATCTATGTCCTAGTTTCATTTACTATAATGGTGTTTTGCAGAAAAGAGAGGTCTTGAAGCTAAGGTTGAGAACCTTCAGAAGGAAAATGATGAACTGGAGGAGAAACTGAGAAGAGTCCTGACACAGAGGATCCTCAGGTATGTAACCTTCACTGATCATTACTGTGGTGTTGATACCTTATAGATGATCCCACCTATACAAGATGCATACATGTACTAGTATATGACAAATACAAACACTCAAGATGGTTATTAAGGACAAGGTTCACCCTTAATGATAGCCCCATGCTGGTTGGGCAGCCTTGATTGTATCTTCATCCTAGTGAATAAATAACAATGAATACCATACTGTGCCATCTATCTCACAGTGACTCTTCAAAGAAGGAACCGAGCTTTGATGACCCTAGCCCACCACACACCAGCTCTGCACCTATCAGCCCCAAGAAGACTGATGTTCAAAATGGCGTGCCCCATGGGAGAACTTCTACCACCACTCCTGATTGGAGGAAAATTTTTGGCAGGCCTGATGGAGTGGGGAGGAGCCAGACAGGGCCGTCCAGTCCAGGGGGTAGCAGAGAAGGGGGGCCAGGTTCACCCGAGGGGGGTCGAAGAAGCCTCCCCAGAACCCCAGGGGAGGAGGAAGAGAAAAGTCCCAGGTCACCACGGAGGAGCAGTGGCATTCCCAGGTGCTGGAATATCATTGGCAGTTAAATGTTAATCATATCAGAATAATGAACATATGGTAGATTGGCTTTTAGGGGGGCCTGCATGGGGGATACTGTCAATGCTGTATGCTAAGTTCAGAAAGGCAGCTACGTATTATGTTAAATTGGTGCAAGCTGGCTTTGCTCAATGCTAAATTCATGCACCAATTATGCTATACATAGAATGCTTCAATTATGCTCTACATTAAATTTGACTGGTCTGGCTGCAAAATTTGTTACCTTAGAACAGCTGATTACACCCTGCAGAAAAAGGCATGCAGGCCCCCTTTCAGCAGGCTCTGTTTTATATCATGACAGAATGTACTGAAAGACCTACCGGTAATCTTCTGTAGTGTGGTGGAAGTATGTTGGTTGCTATTCCCATATACTAACTCAGCAGTATGGTGGTGGTGACTGACTAACCTTGACATCTGTGTGAGAACAAGTGTGTTGTCTGTTCCTCTAAAGGCTGTCTACTCTCATCAATGGAGCTAAACCAACACCCAGACACACAGGGATGCTGCGGTAAGTCAAACAGATGGTTTCTCAGAGGTGTTGGTTCCAACTTTTGACTTGAGGTGGCCAAGTGAGGTGATGGTTAAATAGATGAGACTGTGTAAGCTACATTATTGCTGATTGAATGATCAGAAACACAAGTTTCAGTAGTACAGGAAGATTCAGAATAAACTTGCATGTGTGTGGGTGTCATAATCATGGTTTGGCATGGGTGTGGACACTTGCCTGTGAGAGCAACCTCAGCACTGCTGATGATCATAGCAGTTTGGAAGTTCTTCCATGATGAAACAGCATGGTATCTGTTGTCTGGTGGTGGATAATACCCTCATTAACACCTAATCTTTTGTACTCAATTTATATCTTCTCAGCTTTATTGTTTTCTTCAAGTCATTGCATACTAAACATTTCTAAATGGATAAGTTAAATTGACGTACATTGTATTTGGGTAACTGTACGTTGCTGTAAATGGAGGATTTCTACTTTCCAGGTCAAGGTCAACAGAAGTTCTGAAGCCCAAGCAGTCCAGCCAGATTCCGTCCACGTCCAAGTCAGCCGGGGCAGGGCTGTCCCGGTACCCATCCACACCCATCCTGGCAGCCCACGCCAAGTCCAGACTCCCGGTCAGGAGACCTGGCTCCACATCTCGCAGCTTGTCACCTGAACATAAGTAATACTGGAAATGCACTTATTCACACAGGGATAACATTTTGCTGAATGAGGGAAAAGGACATTTTTACAGTGTTTAAAATTTGCAGTTGAAACAATATACTGTAGTACTGTACTGTAGTATAATTCCCAATTTGCAGTAGAGAGGTCACTGAGAATATAAAACCACCATGGACGTTTTATGACCTACAGAACCCAAATGTGACATCTGTAGACTTCACAGTGAATGAATTTGTACAGAGTACAATTAATATGCCATAAAATTCATTCAATGGAGCTAAGCCATGAGAGGTACATTTTTGTATATACTGTGTTATGTTTGTGTTAAGTTTAATTTAAGTCAATACCCCTGATACCAATTCCATTGTTGCATTTTGGGACAACATGCAAACTTTGAGAGGTTTGAGATTGTGACCATTAGATGGTAACATTGTCAAGGATTACTTTGTTGTTTTGCTCGCAGCCATATTACTAACTGACTATGTAAAGCCACCATTGGCATTGTAGACTGAAGTAATATGTATCTGCCATAAAGTTATGAAACAATCTTTGTAAAGTGGAAATTATGTTTACATCTGTGCAAGTAAGGTTTACCTTTCTAAATGGCCTTAGAAGGAAATGATCATGTGTCAATAGTACTGGGCTGTTACAGCTCTTTGCACCCCCTTTCCACTAGAGGCTGGAACTGCTGATTGACCAAAACTTTGACAGATTTGCGATTCCTTTTTTCAAAGTTTTGTGTGTGTTTTTTTTTTTATTTATTTTATTTTTTACATCATGCATCATATTATTGTCATAAAACCAAGGGTCACACAGAAATTCAACAGTTGCTCAGCGATCACCATTTAGTGGAAAGGGGGATATACTGACCTGATGCAGGATCTGAAAAGACACTTTATACAACTGTGATGAAAATCAGCAACTTAAAGCAAAAGAGATTATGAGAGATCTTTCATTTATGACAGATCTTCCATTGGAAAGTATTTTTATTTTGTTATGCCTAATAGTATGTAGATAAGATTTATATGGTCACGGAATATTTTCTTCTTTTTCAAGTGGTGGAAATGCATACATGTATAGTATGATGTAGATATGACACTTGTGTTGGTAGTTTTTGTTGATAGGGTGTGTTGAAGATGCTAACAATGTCAATGGGACATGGTTTAAGACTTGCAGGTGTTAGAGAATTGTAATAGAGAACATCTGTGATCAATGGCCCCATTCCCACTAGGATAAAATTGTCTGGATAGAGCCAAATTGATTCGCTTTGATCCGGCTTAAATCCGCCTCAATCTGGCTGGAAGCCGGATCAAAGCCAATCAATTTGGCTGGAATCGGATAATTTTATCCTAGTGAGAAAAGGGCCAAAGATACGGTAGGGGTTAATGTGTCACATGGAAGAATGTTGGAAGAAATTGAATATCTTTGATTTGACTTTCTAGGTGTAATTATGTAATGATTTTGTCCAGTCTAAAGACCACAACCAATATTTTTCTATTGAATTGTGGAATAAACATGAGCCACCTTTGTTGTGTGCAGGTTTTAGTGTATCTAAATTTATTTCACAGTTCCCTATAAATGTGTTCACTTGAGAAATTAGCATTTCTACTTTTGTACTGATCATGGATGTAAATCCATTATTGGAATGGACATAAAGTCTGTGCCTCATCTAGCTTGAAGAAGTACTCCAAACAGTATCTTGTCTTTGTGTTTTCAATATTAAATAATAAAAACCTCGCCTTCATTATAGTCTATTGAAAGCTCATGTGTGTTGGTAATCAATAGTTGTAAAGTTCAAGCTTTGATCCAACACAAGAAACGAACTCACCATACATCGATCTCTTCCACAGATGTGTAATGCATTCGCTGAATCTCCGGAGGTCGGAAGCGTGACGACGTCAGGAGTGCATCACGCTTCCGACTTCCGGATATTCAGCGTTTCTTGTGTTGGAGCAAAGCTTGAACTTTACAACTATCAATTCATTATAGTAACAGATGATCTCTACTAGACAGAAACACTTTCGGACTGAAGTAATTGTAGTGAGGAATTCTGCTACATTTAGCGCTAATATACACAACCATAAGCCGCTCATTCAACTGCCGACGCCGGTCTCCCACTAGAATTTCGACAACGTCATTGTATTACATAACTATATTACCCGAAAACCCCCTGGACAGCCTCAAGTCAAAGCAGACAAAGGTGACAAGGCCTGCTGTCACTGGTAAGTGCGCATTTCACTTTTATTCTTCTTATGGGTGATTCTATAACAATATAGAGTGCCCATTGACTGGACTGGACGATTTAGTGCACAATTACAGTGCTAGTGTGAATAACGGAGTTTTGGTCAAACTTGCACAGACGACCACCTGTTAGACGGTAACCTTAACTCTTTGGTACCTGACGTTCTATGACTTTTCTCACACCTTTGTATTGAAAACATCTGGATGTGATGAAAATGCTCAACTATGGATCGTGAATGAAAAGTTAGACTACCCCTTTGGACCACATTTTGTCTGTAGGCTCTATCATCTTTGAGTGAGTCACTTCTTGTATACAAAATGGCCCCTTCCGATTCTGTGGACCTTTGTTATGGTCTATTGCGTCCCTGGCGTCAAGTCAACACCACAAGCACCAAAATACCTCTCGTTTTGCGTGATGAGTCTCAAAAGGGGGGGGAGCAATCTATCACGTCTACTTGGACACGACGTAGCTGTCATCAACTTGTCATCGTAACAACAACGCTGCGAATTGATTATGAAGGTTTTGATTTCTTGCAGTTTCATTTTAGTGCATTGCGTGCTGTGCAAACTGAGTACTTAATATACGGCAGACGAAGTGAAGAGGAAATGGGTTTGGGGCAGGGTTCACTGTATTCAGTCTTTCTATATACAGTACCACATTCTTTCTATTCAATACTTTGTTCTGTGTAGATGAACGTACATGTACAGTGCGCTGTTAGGGGGTTGTGTACTCTGTGGATATATGTATATGAATGAATGAATTAATGGTTTATTTGTAGTAAAACAACAATAAGTATTTCACAGTCTGCCGACTGAATTACACACTCCTTTACATGTACTTAAAATCACAGTTCTTAATTACAATAAAATGCTTATGATTATAAACACCATTTAACAACAATTAAAATCTTTTAAGATTTCAATTGTTGTTAAATTCTGTTTGTAATTATAAGCATTGTCCTCGTGCTGCACAATCAGGCTGTATTCGAATCATTGAGCAGTCTAGCAAAGTAGGGGATTGGTGAGTTCCAATATCGTCCAATATATATGTCTTTTAACAGGCTTAGGCAGAGCTATCCCGCGGCAAATGCCTTGGGATTAGCTGACCGTAAGGAAGCACCTTTGCCTCGGGAGGATGTCACATTGCTGAAATTTGTTTTCGATGGTGTGCCTTATAGATAGAATCATGGCCCCTCAGAGCTGTTTGTCCACTAGGCTTTACGACCTGGACTGACTGCTTCAGGAGATCTCGGATATGGCCTTGAAACACGGTGTGGGCTTCTTACATCAACGCAGCACGTTTATTTTTTCGTTGATATATCCTACAACATGACGACAGATGAACTTGTCATAGATTTCACGGTTATGATTATTTTTTTGTTGATGCTAAAGAAAAGGTCATCGAACAGCTCAGTGTATATTTTACTCGAAATTAAAATTTTTGTATGTTTGGTTTCCTTGCTTCTTCCTTTCCTTCTTAATTTTCTTTCATTCAGTGGAATAATCATGTATGATTAGAAACCCCCAAAGTAGCCTCTGCTTGTCCATTCAAGCACAGGAAAAGGTGTGGGGACGTCTTCTCCGAAACGGCTGCCACCTTCACGGTGTGGTGATCCATCACAGGTGTGCCGTGACTGTCGCCATGGCAGCAGGCTTTGTTCACCCACGTCTTTAGTCTGCAAATTAGGCAGTCTGTATACATATGTCACGTGATCAAAGACATGTCATTCAGGTCACGTAGTTTAGTCCATTTCTTTTGTCACGACAAACAAATATCGCCAGTCCTAATGTATACATTGAGAAGCCTGGATGTAAAGCCATGTGTTGTTTGCTTGGTTTGGTCATGGAGTTAGAAAATCTGATTTTCTGACTCCATGGTTTGGTTAAGTGAGTTTTGCTCTGAATCTGTGACTTAATACGCTGTCGTCCAGAACTGGAAAATAACTATGTACATATAACACAAACTAGTGCGCCTGACATCCTGACATAAGGTCTCGATTTCAAGTTCAGTTCAAGTTCACAATGTCCAGTTGAAGTATTCACGTTCAGTTCATGTTCAGCTAGTTCAAAATATTCACAATGTCCGGAATAGTTTGTGTGTGAGGGAGATAAGATACTAGTAAGTCTGCTGACCTGTAACCGTTTAATTGGTTATTTTGTTTATTTTGTTTATCATTGTTTATTTTGTTTATTTGCATGAAGGACTACTTGGTTACGCGCCTGTGTAGAGGAGGGACATCACTAGACGTCATGATTCGACAAGGAAACATAACATGGACGACTACCACGACTGTGACCAAAGATGGAAAAACCGTCAAAACCAAAGGTTTGTCATTTAAAACGCCTCGAACAACAATTCGAAATAAATAGTAAAAATCTTCTATATCCGCAGATGTAGGTTGGACATCCAGGTGTTCAATGTTTACACTGCATGAAAAGTGGGGTTTTACCAATGCTAGGTGGCAAATGCTAATAAGTCAGACAATTGTTGCTTCTGGCATATGATGCTTCAGATAACCTTTCAATGTTAGACTAACCTGGCCACCATTTAGGCATACCAGACGCGCAGGCATCCCTTTGATTTATCGCTGTTGGACAATCCCACTTTTCGCGTTGTGAGCTAGATGCCTCATGCTCTTTGCCCATGACACAAAACAAAACAAAACTTTCATAACAAGAATTCGGAGATCTTATACCTCCATGAAATGTATTTCATGGAGGTATAAGTTGAGTTTTTGTAAATGTTTCTTATTTGTCTCATTGACTATGGAAATAAGGTCGTAATTAGCATAATCTAGTTTAATTTATGGTTTTCTAAATTCAAATGACAATATTCTTAGTGTAAAACCTCTCTCCTTTGTCATACTTCATTTCAACATCTCCTCATTAATTATGCAAATGACCTCTACATTAACATAATATATCCATAGTAATGTTGACATTTAAGTAACTTACACATGTCACAATATATAGAATTCCCTTCATTCATCAATAACGAGTCACATAATTTTCACATTAATTATGCAAATTAGGTCATCATTTGCATAATTGGTATCTGTTGATGTTTCGCCTGCCACAGATTAAATAGATTACATGTATAAAAGTGCTATTATATCAAACACTGTAATTATAGAATTTCCTCCTTAATTATGCAAATTAAGTCCTAATTTGCACAATTTGTATTTAATTATGTACAACTCTCTCTCAGCTACCTACACACCAAAAATAATGAAAATACGTTGTTCCTATCTGGACTTATTGGCTTTTAAAGATTTCACCAGAAAGCCCCCTGCAGTTCCAGAAGAAGCTGCTAGCGGGACAAACCCACACCACTTATTCCTGACAGGAAAAGCTATCTGTCACCCAAAAAATCAAGGACATGTTAACAAATCAAGCATGTTCAGGACAAAAGATTAAAAAAACGGAAGTTCTGCTGCAGTACCAAGGTCATCCACCAGGAGGCCCATATCTGACCTTGACCTTCGTCTTCCTAAGACTTACATATACCAGCATACCAACTATCATCACAATTCATAAAGGCGTTCTGAAGTTATGCTGACTACAAATGTGCAGAAACACAAACACACACACACACACACACACACACACACACACACACACACACACACACACACACACACACACACACACACACACACACACACAAACACACACTCAGAGACACGCCAAAAACAATACCTGTATTGTTCATGGAGGTAATAACATATTATGACTAACAAAATCCTTAACAAAATGTCTACGTGCACGTGAACAAAGTTGAGATGGAGTAGGCAGAATTTAGATCCTAGGTAGAAAACTACTTTTCTTCCTCATGTCGGTCCCGGACTCCGTCCACCTCTTGTCACCGTATCTTTCCTTATCAGAGAGCGGAACTGGAGTGCCTGGCAGGGGCAGATCTCCTGTCAGGGGCAGATCTCCTGACCCTATGTTCGACCTAGGAATGGGGAGCACATCCATGGATAACTTCCTGTCTGCCGGAGCACAGGTATTTCATTAGCAAGTAACCATTCCACCCAACATCGTGTCGGTTACAGTGGTGGCAGTAGATAGATTCAAACTTTAAAGTAATTCGATCGAAAATGTTTAGTTCACAAGCGGACTGCGATGTCTTGTTTTGAGTTTTCCGGCACCACACGGATAATTGTATTTGATCAGTGGCCTGTCGTAGCATTTTGGCATGTATCGAAGACCGTAGTGTTTAATGTATTGATTAGATTTCTGCCGGAAACATCCGAAGATTCATACTGCTTCAATAAACATGACACTTTATCATCCCGTTCTGTAGCCGAGACGGGCCTCGTCCCCAATTTTCAGTGATTTTGGTGCGTTCCACGAGCCCATGGAATGTGAGTATACCTATAGCTGTTGAACGTAAATCAATGAAGTCATAGATCGTACAGATGGCTTGCTAGATTACACCGAGAAGAGTACTTGCTGAGTCTCCGGAGAATGCATAGAGAGGTAGTCAGAAGAATTCATAAAAACGAATAGAGAAAAAAAAACTCACGGAGATATGAGATCATCGTTTTCTTGTCATCACTATAAAAAAAACACTTTTCTTACATTTCTGTGCACAGTCCATACAACCACATTCAACACGGAAGTCAAGAAGACAGGAAAACAGAAGAAAGAGAAGAAAGAGAAAGACACAGATGACGACCAGAAAGAGAAGAAGTCCGGAATTAAGGGTAGTGTTTCATTTCAAACCCTGATTCGAGTTCATTTGAATGTTGCTTTTTCTCTAAATGTAGTCATAAAGCGACGTACACCCCACAGGAATTGAAAAAGAAGCGAATACTAAAGGCCTGAGGCTGATGTTCCGTGTCCGCGTTCAACTGCGCCCTCTACCGTTTATATGAATTACAACACCTACAGTGTGCGTATGTTTGAACCGAAAGGTCGGAGTAACTTTGTATGCCTTTGTGTAGATAAGGTGAAAGGGTTCGTCTCATCTGTGTTGACATCAAAGCCGTCTCCCGAGGAAGATTTGACCCAGCGGATGGAGAGAACCACCGTTAGCGACCTCGGGCCGGTGCAAGTGTTCCTGTCCTACCAGTGGGACCATCAGAAACAGGTAGGGCAAAGTAGCCTGATATCCATCTCAGCAAAGTACATCTCTGTAGCTGTAGCTGTAGTAGCATGGGTGTCATCCTATTTGTATGCCGGGGCTCCCATACTCGCTCCCTAAAAATAATGGGAGCCCTGCATACAAATACGATGGCACCCAGGCTACAGCTGAAGTGCTGGCGTCGAAAAAATGCAGAAGAAAGCTTATTTTGGAAAAAAATGAATGACAAAAGAAAACAATGACCTGAGGACATCTACATCATCCTTACTCCCTAATATCCTTCATTTTGCCAAAAAAAAAGAAAGAAATCGTAGACTTCATATCCCGGTGACTTGATGAGAGTTTTTGTGAATTTCTGAATTCATTATTTTAATAAAGGTCTTCATTCATTCATTATTGGGAATTTCTCTGTTTACATCTGTGCATTTTTCCTTTGCCATCCGGCCCACTTTGGGTGGTCTGCGGTTAGAGAATTCCCCCAAACACGTGCTGACATGTCCCTCAAATGTACAAACGCACAGGCAAGACCATACCTCGGATCGAAACTCCATACGGAAGTTTAATAAATTTTACATTGTTTAGATCAAAATCACAGCGGTAGCCAGCCTCTATGTAGTAAAAGCTTAGTAAAAGCTGTCAAGTGACACCGAATTGTGTAATCATGTATGTCTGCATTAGGTGACCCAGCTCCATGATATGTTGGAAGAGAAAGGCCACAGCTGCTGGATGGACATTAAGGAGATGGGCGGGGGAGATCAACTGTACGCAGCGATAGACAAGGGCATGAGACAGGCCAAGGTTGGACTTTCAATGTCTTTAGAAGCATGGGAATAATTCAACATTACTATCCTCCTAATCCCTTTTTTCCACTGGAGGTAGACTGTTCAGCGACAGAAATTGGATTTGTTGACCTTTGACGGGTACTTTGAATATGATCCATGATGTAAAAGTATGATTTGAAATCACTTCCGGGGAGGTACATATTTTGTCTGACAGACTGCTGAAGTCTTTATCCATGTGTCCTCCTTAGGTCGTCATCAGCTGCGTCACTCCCAAGTACACAGAGTCTGCCAACTGTAGGAACGAAGTCGCGCTTGCGCACAGCCTGAAGAAAACTATCGTGCCCGTCCTGCTGGAGAAAACGGCCTGGCCGCCAGAGGGCCCCATGGCCATGCCGTTCGCACAACTCTTGTACATCGACTTTACAAAAGAACCCAAGAGGAATCCCTGGCAGGGGCCTCACCTTGACGAACTCATGACAAGCGTTGAGCAGAGCTTGAAGGAATAGCTTTGGTTTTGAAAGGAACTTATTGTCACAAACATATGGTTAGCGATGTCCAGTTAGTAAAAAAAAACGAAAACCATCGCACCATTATTATATTGTGCCGTAAATGTCGCAGTGCAGTCCTGACGTGCCTTAGACTTGATGTGTCTAGCTCTTTGTTAAAGATGTACTGGGTATGACCTTGGATATCTTAGTCGTTTTTGTATGCTTAGTGACATGCATAACTATACTAGAAGGTCTAAAAGGTGTCATTGTGTTAGAGGGGAAGAAATCGCAAAAATATAAGGATGTGGGCGATAGCTGTTTCTAAAAGTTTCAGAAAGAAAACTATCGATTTTAGGTAAGTTAGTTACATTGATAATGGACAGGCGTATTTTATGTTGTGGTGGTAAGAATGGAACTTATAAGCCCCAACACCAAACGTTACAAAAGCAAATGAATAACGATATACAAATATATAGAGAGACTAGATACCTTATTTGATATTCACTGTCAATCTTTTTGACTACTGCTTGTTTCCTTGGAATAGCATTTGGATATTGATTTGGATTAAAGATTCAATAGACTAGATACTTAAGCTTTGTTGGCTTGTTACCTCCATGAAATGTGTCATGGAGGTTATATTTTCAGTTGTGTTTATCTGTCTGTCCGTCCTTCTGTTGGTCAACAAGATAACTCAAGAACGCCTGGATGGATTGATTTCATACTTGGTGTGTTGGTAGGGTGTGACGAAAACTGGAAATGATGAGATTTTGGTCCCCCTAGTGGCTTCCCTTGGTACTGCAGCGCAACTTCCGGTTTTGATATCTCGCGATCTGGACACGCTAGGGTCATGAAATTTTGATGGAAGGTAGCTCTCGTGCTGGGAAAGAAGTCTTATGAGTTTGGGCCCCCTAGCGGCTTGTTCTGGAACTGCAGGGCACTTTCTGGCGAAATGTTTAAAAGCCAATAAGTCCAGACAGGAACAACATATTTTCATTATTTTTGGTGTGTAGGTAGCTGAGAGAGAGATGTACATAATTAAATGCAAATTATGCAAATGAGGACTTTATTTGCATAATTAATGAGGAAATTCTATAATTACAGTGTTTTACGATATCTCGCGATCTGGACATGCTAGGGTCATGGAATTTTGATGGAAGTAGCTCTCGTGCTGGGAAAGAAGTCTTATGAGTTTGGGCCCCCTAGCGGCTTGTTCTGGAACTGCAGGGCACTTTCTGGCGAAATGTTTAAAAGCCAATAAGTCCAGACAGGAACAACATATTTTCATTATTTTTGGTGTGTAGGTAGCTGAGAGAGAGATGTACATAATTAAATGCAAATTATGCAAATGGGGACTTTATTTGCATAATTAATGAGGAAATTCTATAAGTACAGTGTTTTACATTATACTACTTACATACATGTAATGTATGTAACCTATGGCAGGCGGATCTTCAACAGATACTAATTATGCAAATGATGACCTAATTTGCATAATTAATGCGAAAATTCTATGGTTTCGTAATGGTGAATGATGAGACATCTGTAAGTTAATCAAAATTTAACATACATCACGATGCATATATCATGTTAATGCAGAGGTCATTTGCACAATTAAAGAAGAAATTTACATTTACATATCAAGATCATATTTCATGGAGGTATGAGATCTCGGAATTCTAGTTACAAGTTTATTTTGTATATGACTTCCATGTTATGAAGTTGCCCGGCCAGCCCATAGCCCAGGCACGCTGTGTATTTGAGTTGCGTAATGTTATTATTGGCAACATAGAAGTTTTCGTTTCTAGAACCACAAAGTTAAGATTGTCTGCGGCTAAAATGATTGAAAAGGGTTGCGTCAATGGCTCGACAAAACGGGCCCTCGTTACCAAGGCCGTTTGCGGTCTCGGTGTTTTTCCCGTGTGTGGGGTGCACATCGCACGGTTGGCGCTGGGAGGGCAGGTCTGTACCTAACAATCACAGGCATGTGGCGTCAAGGCGTGCAGCAGGTGCCTGGGTCTTTCTGATCTTTCCGGGCCACGGACCTACGCATCAACGGGTCTTCAAAGTAGGGGGTGAGAGAGAGCAACGGGGCATCCAGTGTGTTCATAGATACGCCAGCTCATCTATCAGAAAACAGAACGGTTCACTCATCGCGGCAGGGATCGGCAGTTTGAGAGGTCGGCTTCAGGTTTGGTATGTAGAACACACTGGTGGACACACTGGTGGGCTCTCTGGATATTAAAGAGATACAGGTGGGTATCCATTTTGCCTTTTCTGAGTATGTACTTGTTGATCATAGGTAAACTTCATCTCACGCATCTAGAACAAAACCAAGTAATTTTCCTGCAAATGTGTCTGGTTGGCCACAGTAGATTACGTTTAACATTATTGTGAATGAGTGTTGCTGTGCTTTAAGCATCGTCCAAGCAGGGTTCTCTCTCTCTCTCTATTTATGTCGGAAACCCTCCGGTAACGTGGACTCGATACCTTGTTGCTGAAATTCATATCTGCATATTCACTTTACTTGTGGACAGTCTGTTGTCAAGGAAATATGTCTTATGTGGTTTTCCCTTTATATCAAATTTTTTTCTGAACATTTATCAAATATTGTTAATGGACGCTACGAATAACCAGTCTTCTGAATATGTCTATATGTCATTTGTGAATGCAGCTCGTTTTTTAATCAACCGCCGCTTATATAATTATTTCATTCACTAGCTCAATTAGGGAATTCATTTCTCATGTGACCCTTGGTACAGTGCCTAACTTAC